AAAAAAAAAAAAACACCAAGGCATGAGGATCCAGCTAAGTGCAGATTCCCATTAGATGGGATGTTCTGCATAATCTGTAAACTAATCAGAATCTTTGTGCTTGTAAATGACTTTAGAAATCAGCTAGACTACTTGTGTCTAAAGGGAAGTCTCCCAACTTTAACTCTTTTCCTAATGGGTGACGATTTTGAACATAAAAGAAATGCTAACATTTGTTTCCGGTAAGTTTTCTTCTTCTACTGTCAGGAGAAAAGGATTGCAGGGAGGAATCTGAGACCATCTTTCATGTCTCAACTTCAATGTGATTGCCTCAGTAAACTTTTTTCCCATACCCCTGACTAGGAGAAGTCTCATATACATCCTATGAAGTAAAGGTAGAATTCTAAGTGCCCCAGCTGACTGGATGGACCCTTTCTCTTCACTAAGGAGTTCCAGAGACTCTTGAAAAACTAGCTCAGGTCATGTTAGAAACAGAGGATCAGAAATGCCTCATCATGCACTCCTCCCTTTAGAATTCAAGCACGACTAGCCAGCATTTTCATGATAACAGAGAACTCAAGGCTCAGAAAACAGATTCTTTGTAGAAGTAAGATACCGAATTCCAACCTGACTCAAGAATAGCATCATATGACAGAGAGCAGGCCTTGAAATGAATCAAAGGCTTTTACCCTAAAATGTATTTCTATGACATATTTTAAAATCGCCCTGCACAGTTATCTTTTGTGAGAGAAATTTACATTCTGCAGAGAATCTCCTTCCCTTTCCAGGTCTTTTGTTATCCTGAAGGGATCAGCTAAGAGTCCAGCATCTTTTAAAGGTCTTAATAGAAAATATTTGCCATCTATTGTCTCTAAGGGTGGCCACATAAGAGACTTCTTCAGTAATAAGAATCTTGTTCTCCAAAACCCATTATCTTAACCCAGACACTTTGTTATACTGATTTCAGGTCTTTAGATAAAAAACTTAAGTCTTTCAATCAATTGCCAATCAGAAAACCTTTGAATCCACCTGTAAGCTGTAATCCCCTCCCACACTGCCTCACTTCTAGCGGTTTTGTCTTTATTGACCAAGTCAACATATATCTCACATGTATCAATTGATGTTAGTAAATTGAAGCTGCAATCAAGCCACTTTGGGCACATGTTCTCAAGATCTTGTGGGGCTGTGTCACAGGGCATGGCCCTCACATTTGGCTCAGAATAAATCTCTCTAAATATTTTGCAAACTTGGCTTTTTATTAAGAGTTCTAACAGAACCTACTCTGTGGTCTTTGTTACATCCACAAGCATGATGTTAGTAACCATCAGTTATTAAAGTAAGTACATGTTGGCAATTTCTTATGAAGTTACACAGAGACCTTCTATGGGATCAAGTGTAAATGTTTCAAAGTATTTCTGCAAGTTATTTCAAAATTTACGTTCCACAGATACTTCTATCAGATTCCTTATGTCAGCTAATTATTTGCTTTATGACT